CCTGAGACCACGCACTTCTCTGCCCCCGTGAGAGCTAGAGCTGTGTGAGACGCTGGTGGCACTGGGGAGCTGAGCCCCACGTTGAGGCCTGGCCTGTCCTGTCTGCAGGGGGGAGATGCTAAGATTTTGAGGGTCCGGCTCTTGAGGGCTAGAGCTCGCTGTCCAGTGGATCTCCATTTCATCTTTCCCCTCGTTGTGTCTGTCTGTGATGGTTTCTCTCAAAGCTCTTTATTTCATGAAAGCCCATTGTTTACGGTCTTGTTGGTTGTGTGCGACGTGGACAGTTAGAACTCTTGAAATCTCTCCCGGGGAATGAGGGTGTCACGAGTGCTTGAGTGCTGGGAGAGGGGTGAAAGGGTGACGTCAGCAGGTGGGAGGAGGAGGAGGACCCCGGGGCTGCACTGTAGCGTCCACCGCTGTTGCCAGCAAGGACAGGAAGCAGCGGGAATGACAGAAATGGAGCCCAGCCAGCCCTCTTGTTCCTTTTTTGGAAATTGAGACATAATTCACGCACCACAGAAGTCATGAAGGTGTGTTACTCAGTAGGTTTTACTCCATCCACAAGGTGTGAATCTGAACCCCAAGTCCAGCTCAAGGACACCACTGAGACCTCAGAGAGAAACCCTGTGTCTCTTAGCAGCTGCTCCTCATAGCCCCTGGCAACCACTGATCCGCTTTCTGCCTCTGGATTTGCCTGTCCGGGGCAGTTCAGAGGAACAGAATCGTGTAAGATGTGGCCTTTTGTGACTCGTGCCTTCCACTCGGTGTCATGTTTTCAGGGTGCAGTCAGTGTTGTCAGGGCTATCCACACTTCCTTCCTTTTCATGACTGTATAAGGTTCCATGGCATGGACCGACTGCATTTTGTTCATCCATTCATTGGCTGGTGGTCACTTGGGTTGCTGCCACCTTTTGACTCCTGTGAGTCATGTTGCTCTTTCCTTTTGGTTTGGTTTTGGGTTGGACACTCTTCAAAGCACCCAGCTGTCTGGATTCCTCCAGCTCAGCTCTTTGGAAAGCAAGAGAGAGTGGAGCTGAGTTGGAGAGCTGGTGGTGGGAGGGCAGGGAGGGGGAGTCTGAAGATTTGGGAGAACTCTGCCGGAGGCGGCATCACCCCCGGCCCCTGGGCCATCTGTTGTGACGTGAGTATTTTTCTTGCTGTTGATTATTAACCAGTGGTTAAGATCCTGAGAGTGGATCCCCAGGGCCAGAACCGGTGCTTATTTGAGATGCTGGAAATGTTTTCCAAGACACAAACAGCCTTGGACCCTTGCTTCTTTGACCCCACTTGGAGAACAGATACCACTTTATGAATTATACTCATCAGCACAGCAGGAAGAATGGCCTTCATCTGTCCAGGACTTCAGGTTTTGTTTCATTAAGTCCTCAGAACATTTTTATTTTTATTTGACAGGTAGAGTTACAGACAGAGAGACAGAGAGAAAGGTCTTCCTTCTGTTGGTTCACCCCCCAAATGGCCGCCACAGCTGGCGCACCACGCTGATCTGAAGCCAGGAGCCAGGTACTTCTCCTGGTCTCCCATGCGGGTGCAGGGCCCAAGCACTTGGGCCATCCTCCACTGCCCTCCTGGGCCACAGCAGAGAGCTGGCCTGGAAGAGGGGCAACCTGGACAGAACCGGTACCCCGACCGGGACTAGAACCCAGTGTGCCGGTGCCACAGGCGGAGGATTAGCCTAGTGAGCCGTGGCGCCGGCCTCCTCAGAACATTCTTACCCCCACATTTGCAGATGAAGGAATGGTGACACAGAGGTGAGGTGACCTACCCCAGGTGACACAGCAAAGCAGCAGTGCAACCAAACCGGAGCCCAGGAATCTTTTGATTCTTTGTGCAGGGCACCCTCCCTAGGCTGGAGCGACCTGGGGCAGAGCCATGTGAGGGTGCAGGTGTGGTCACGGGGGTCTGCCCCAGGGCACTGTCCAGCCCCATACGGGTGAATGTTTCCGCTACAGGTTCCTTGACCATTTCCTCCTGAGATTGCATTTGGCCGAAGCCAGCTAGGACCCTTCCAGGCCTTCCTGAGCCCTCCCATCTGCCCCAGAATCTCCATGTTTCTAGAGAACAGTGAACCCACGTTGTTGACCCTCAGTGTCACGGAGCCCCGGGGCAACAGACATGCTGAGCACGCAGCCCCTTGGGACTTCCCTGGATGGAGGCAGCTCTCCTGACTGCCCATCTCACCCCACTCTCAGCCGTGTAGACTCCTGCAACCCCCTCGGTTTCCTCTCCAGCCTCCTTTTCTATCAGTCCCAAGCTTCCCCCATCACCAGCCTCTCCTCTCACAGGTCCCTGTGGGTTGTTGCGTGGGCCTGGGACCCTCTGTCCTTGGAACCACGTGTGACTGCTGGGCTGGTCATGGGCAGTGTTCGGTCTCAGGGTCAGGACGTGGGTGAGCTCCCTGTGGGTCACAAGAACACTGTCACTTCTGCACTGGCTCAACCTCCTGCTTGTGATAAATGAGAGTGGACTCAAGGTTGCCCTTGATGTAATCTCCCTGCTTTTACCTACTCAGGTATGCAATGTTTGCCTGAGCAGGAGCGGGAGAGAGAAGGTTGGAGCTGTGCTGAGCGCCATGCTCTTTCTCTATCTTATCTTTGCACCAGCTGGTGGCTGGGCTGGCCTGCCTGTCCTTGGGAGGGTGGCTCACTTGGAAATCTCGCAGTGGGGAGGGCTGGGCGGGTTGAGGCCGAGCACAGCTGAGGCGAGCAGGGCCAGAGAGCTGAAGTGGGGATTCACCCTCGCCTCCCTCCCCCTTTTTAAAGCAGATTGGTCATTTCCAAATTTCTTTTTGTGATGTTTTTATTTTTTAAAAAAAATTTGACGTTTTATTTTTTGAAAGTCAGAGGTAGGCAGAGGCGGGGTCGCGCGCGGAGGTGGGGGGGTCTTCCATCCACTGTTTCACTCCCCAAATGGCTGCAATGGCCGGAGCCATGCTGATCTGAAGCCAGGAGCCAGTAGCTTCTTCTGGGTCTCCCACGCGGGTGTAAGGGCCCAAGTACTTGAGCCATCTTCCACTGCTGTCCCAGGCCATAGCAGAGAGCGGGATCGGAAGTGGAGCAGCCGGGACTCAAACGTGTGCCCATATGGGATGCCAGCACTGCAGGCGGCCAGCACTACACCACAGCCCTGGCGCTGGTGCCCTCCCCCACCTTTTAAAAAGATTTTTATTTGATATAGAGTTATAGACAGAGGGAGAAAGAAACAGTTCTTCCATCAACTGGTTTTCTCCCTGAATGGCCCCAACAGCCGGGGCTGGGCCAGGCCAAAGCCAGGAGTCAGGAGCTTCTCCTGGGTCTCCCATGTGGGAGCAGGGGCCCAGGCACTTGGGCCATATTCTGCTCTGTGGAAGAATTCTTCCTGCCTGTAACCTAGGGTGGCGTCGGCCCGCCTCATCATCTTTAGCTGGCAGCTGCCTCGCTGGCGGTCTTCCGTCGGCGCCCTCGTCTAGCACGCGTTGTGCGCCTACATCCTTATATATGGTTCTTCGTGCGCATGCGTCGGCACGTGGCATTCGCTGTGCGCATGCGTGGGCATGCGTCGGCACATGGTGTTCTCCCCGCGTGTCATCGTCTGGCATTGTCTGCACCTGCGTGGTCACATGGAGTTCTCTGCACGCCTGCGCCGTCTGGGAATCTCCACGCGCCTGCGCCGTCATGTGGTGGTCTCACACCTGCATCATCACGTGCCAGTCTCCGCGGGCGCGCGGCGCCACGTGGCGTTTTCTGCGCCTGCGTCGGCACTGGCCTTCTCTGTGCCTGCGTCGTCTCGTAGCGTTCTCCCTGTGCCTGCATTGTCACGTGGCGTTCCCCGTGTGTTTCCGTGCGTGGCCTCCTTCCTTTCTGATAGGGACACTGGCCCTGTTGAACTAACGGCCCGCCGTGTGACCTCATCTTGCCCCTTGATTAATCTGCAAAGCCCTATTTGCAGATAAGTTCACATGCCCAGGACCACGGGTTGGGATGTCAGCATAGATTTTGGAGGACACAGTTCAACCCTCAGGCAGCTAGCGCTTGCATGGGAGGGAGGGCTGTAGTGCAGGGCGTCTGCCCCGTCTGTGTGCCAAGGCAGGGTGGGTTCCAGTTTGTGATCAAGGGCGCCTGTCTACCTGAGTTCCCTTTGGAGGGCACCAGCTGCACCTCCTGTGCTTCCTACATCCCCTCTGGAGTCACCTGGGAGGGAACGCCTCCGACCGGAAGCTGCCCTAAACACCCCCCACTTCCTGGGGGACTAGTCTCAGGGTCATAGCTGGCATGTGCAGGGGAGGGTGCTCAGCCCAGGGGGGCTGGAGTCCGGGGCCCTTTGCCCAGGACTCAAGGTCCTTTTACAATGATAACATCTGCTCTGGTCCCACGGCTCGGCCCTCTTGAGTCCTAGGGGGAGAACCAGTCGGCATGGCTGAGTTAAATACTTGCCAGCGTTGCCCTCTAGGGTTTGTGTTTTGTGTTCCCTGGGTGCCAGAGCTGCTGTTGGGCAGTCGGGGGGCATAGCCACAGCCCACACTCTGCACAGCCTACAGACTGGGGCCGGGGCTTGCCTGCCCTCCCCACTCCCAGCCCTCCAGGGAAGCAGCCTTCTTCCTCCCTGAGGGGACCCCAGGGTGGTGCTGCCTGTTCTTGATCAGCATTCTTCCTTTTCTTGTCCTCCTCCTGGCTCTCGGGGGCCAGGCCCATGGAGAAAGAGCTGTGGATGCGTGGTGGTGGTGGTGGTGGGGGAGCCCAGTGGCAGGAGAGGGAGCCTGTGCGGGATCTGACTCAGCCCCAGCCTACAGGGACCATCCCAGGCAATAACGGGCAGGGGAGGCAGGTGGCTGTGGCCATGATATGAATGGAGCCGGTGTATCTGGCACCTGCCAGTGTGCCAAGTCTTGGTCCTGCCTGTTCTTGTGCCAGTTTTAGTCTGGATGGGGAGGGAAGGGACACTGCTTGCAGCCATCCTAGGTCCAGGAAGAAGGCGGCAGGTGAGAGAACCTTGCCGATGTCAGGGCTACCGGGCTGTGTGGACCCAGGGCCCTGGCTGATGCTCACCAGCCTGCTGGTTTGGCTGCCTTGGGAGGGGGTGGCCGGCAGCAGGGGCTGGCTCTCAGGAGCTGTCCTTAGATGGAGCGTGGAGCAGGTCCTGTACCCTGAGGGGACCAGGAAGAGATGGCGTCTGGGCCCCAGGGTGTGCTTCTCTCTGCGAAGCTGGAGGGAGTGTGGGCTTCTGTTGTGGAGAATGTTTGGGGGTGAAGCTGTTGCCCCCACTGGCAGGGCACAGCATGCTTGCTTCTTTCTCAAGGGCAGTGGGATCCTTGGGCGGTCTCAGTGGGACCCTGGTGTTGGGCTGAGTCTCTTGGCTGTTTCAGGGTGCACCGTGGGAGGAGGAAACACTTTTGAAGTGGGGGCCCCTGCTGGTCCTAATCCCGCTGCCCTTGCCTTTCTTTTCCCTGCTGTGGTAGTAGCCAGGGCCAGCCAGGACCCTAAAGCCCCTTGGCCAGGGATTCCCCAGGTTCTGTCCGGCTGGCCCTGCTGTGTAACCATGTCACTCCAAATGCGTCTCCCGCCCCAAACCGTCTGCCTGGTGAACGGCCTGCAGACAAGTGTCCCCTGGCCACCAGCAAGGGCCAGATGGGAAGTGGGGAGTGCAAGAGCGCAGCCCTGTTGCCAAGGAGACGCCCTTCTGCGTGGCCGCCTCTCCAGCCTGCGTGGTGGACTGAAATAAGTTTTACCTGCGGCCTACAGCCCTGACCTTCCAAGGTCAGCCCTCTGGCTGGGCCCTCTGTGTGCAGAGGGAACAGAGGGGCCTGAGTCCCACAGGCTGGACCCCTTGCCCTTCCTGAGCCCTCCTCAGCCCCTTCAGATCTCAGCATGGGCCGGGTCTCCTGCAGAGTCTGATGCCGTGCAGGTCCTTGGGCGCCATCCCGCGCAGGCCTGGTGTGCACCTGAGCAGTTGCGTTTCTCAGAAGTGCGGGGGCGAGGCTGGTGGCCCAGGGATTGCGCGTGGAGCAGCTGTGCTTTGAGTGTCAGTCGTGCATCAGGTGAGGAAGACGCTCCCAGCTCTATAGTCTTCCGCGTCATCAGTTAGTAGCGTCGCTGAGCCCAGTCAGCCCTCGAGCAGGGAGGGGAAGCGCAGGCAGACCCCTGCTCACCTCCCCTGTGTCCTGCTCTCTTCACAGGAAACAGGAGCTGGCCAACAGCTCGGATGTGACCCTCCCAGACCGACCGCTGTCACCTCCTCTCACAGCACCTCCCACCATGAAGGTAAGAGGCTGGGGGGGCGTCCGGGCGCAGGGAGGGGAGCCCCGAAGGGAAGGAATCCGGGCCTCGCTGTTGCTTTGGCTGCGGGCCCAGCTGCTTCCATCCCCGTGGAGCCCACACAGGGTCCCGAGGCCTCTGGAGGCGGTGTGAGTGAAGCTGGTCGGCGTGGGATGGGGTGTGACTGAGACACTGAGGGCGCCTGTGTCCAGGGGCGGCGAGGAAGCAGACTGGGGCTGCAGAGGGGTTGGCAGAGGCCTGGTGGAGCCTGGGCCCTGGGAGTGAGGGGCCCGAGCAGGAGGAAGTGAGGGGACAGGAGGCAGCCGGGTGGGGCCTTACCACCCTCCACCCTCCTGGGACTTGCGTGGCCTTGATGCCTCTGGCTGGCCCTCTGTGGAGGGTCCTGAAACCCCAGTCCTCGGGAGGGACTTGCCCTGGAGGGGACCGCTTCCCAGGGCTCCAGCCCCAGGGGAGAGGTGCACAGGGGCCAGCGCCTCTCCTCCTCGGCCTCTCAGTGCCTCCGCCTCCTCCCCAGCAGCCTGGCAGCCTCCCTCCCCCCCTCACACTCGGTCAGGTGTGGACTTGCTCAGAAGTCACCTGGCTCCTGAGTCATCTGAGGGGACATCTAGGCCAGCATCTGCCTCCTTCCTGGGGCTCTGCTCTGAGGTGACTCATGGGGACATAATTAAACATCTCTTCCTTGCTGTTCCATATCACACCCCCTTTTCCCCTGACCTAATCTGTGCAAGGTGACACCCACGAAGGAAACAGGCAAAAACCACCCATCTGGAGTGGGTTTCGGCCTAACAGTTAAGGTGCTGGGTGAAGGCCTGCGTTCCGTATCAGCCTGGTTTCCCTACCTGGCCCTGGCTCCTAACTGCAGCTTCCTGCTAAAGCAGAACCTGGGGGGCAGCAGGTGATGCTGGCTCAACTAACTGGGTCCCTGGTCTCCTGTGGGAGACCTGGATTGCATTGGTTCCTGGCTCTGTTCCTGACCCAGCAGCAGTGGCTGTTGCAAGCATTTTTTTGGGTGGGGGATGACCCAGTGGATGGGAACTCTTTGTTTCTCAAAACAAACAAACAAAAAAACCCTAAAAGATCCCCTAAATTGTCCATCTTTTGGTTATCCTCCCATACCGGATGCCTGCCACACGCAGAGCCACATGGTATCCGCCGAGGGGGCATCCAAGGAACGGCAGCCAGAGCCTGCCCTGGTAGGGTGAGGAGCCCAGCTGTGAGTGGGAGGCAAGACAGGGCGCAGGGCTGGCTGGGACCTCTCTGTTCTCCTCCTGGTGGGGAACCCAAGGGGCACCGAAAGCTATGTCCGCTTCACCAGCCTGGTCCCAGGGCTGGTGTCTGAGCCGGGTGCTGGGGGCATGGGGTTGTTGCAAGGAATGCTGGGGACCAGGTCGCCATTGCGTTTCAGTTCCTGGGGTGCTCGTCTCCAAGTGTTGGGGTTTGCAGGGTGTCTGAAAGCCTCCCCCGAGGAGACACTGAGTTCTCCTGCCAAGCTTTACTTGCTTGCTCATTGAACTCCTCCAATGCACAGTGTTTATTTGAGCGTTGTATTAGGACTCTTGGTTGCCAGTGACAGAAATGTAACCCACTTTCACTTAGACATGAAAGGGAATTTTTTACTTTGTAATGGCAAATATAGACACCAGGCATGTCTGCATCTGTGAAATCTGTCTATTTCCCTCTCTCTTCTCTGTTGATCTCATTTTTTAAGTTCTAGGCCAGGCAGAGTGGTGACAGCAGCTCCTACCTGCTGAGTAACTGCAGTGGAAAGACATATATTGTTTTTCCACCTAGTAGTTCTAACAGACATCCGGAGAGGAAGCTCATTGGCCTGGCTTACGTCACATGGCTATCCCTGAATCAATCAGAGAGAAAGCACATGATTGGTCAGACCTGGGTCTCAGGACCTCCCACCTAAACGTAAATCAGTAAGAACTGATAGTGGGAGAGGGGTGGCTGGTTAAGGGAAAATTGAGACACTACTATGAGAAGAAGTGGATGCAAGACTGGCAAGACCAGCCCTGCAAGTACTGATGATGCACAGGCCCAGTGCCGGGTGCAGAGGGCTCGGTTGTAGACAAGATTTACAAACCCTGAGCTCTTGAACTTGTAGTCTGGCTAGGGAGCTAAAAGTTCAAAAATAACATGAAGGGCACAGAGGGTTAAGCCTCCACCTGCAGTGCTGGCATCCCATATGGGTGCCAGTTCGGGTCCTGGCTGCTCTACTTCTGATCCAGCTCCTTGCTGATACGCCTGGAAAGACAGCAGAGGTTGGCCCAAGTGCTTGGGCCCCTGCACCCATGTTGGAGACCTGGATGAAGCTCCTGGCTCCTGGCTTTGGCCTGGCCCAGCCCTGGCTATTGTGGTCATTTGGGGGGTGAACCAGTAGATGGAGGATTGATATCTCTCTCTTTTTATTATCACGAATGAGGCAGGGAGGGGGACAGGCATTTGGCTTAGGGTTAAGATGCTTGCACCCCATGTTGGAGTACCTGTATTTGATACCTTCCTCCGACTCCTGACTCCAGCCTCCTGCTAATGCAGACCCTGGGAGGCAGCAGTGATGGCTCAAGGGATGGGTTCCTGTGACCCATGTGGGAGACCTGGGTTGTGTTCCCAGCCTCCAGCTTTGGCCCCTGGTCTAGTTCTGGCAGTTGCAGTCATTTGGGAAGTGAATTGGAAAGTGAACCATCACATGGGAACTCTCTCTGCCTCTTGTTCTTTCTCTCTCTCTTTGCCTTTCCCATAAAAGAAAGAAAGAAAGAAAGAAAGAAGGAAAGAAGGAAAGAAGGAAAGGAAAGAAGGAAAGGAAAGAAGGAAAGGAAAGAAGGAAAGGAAAGAAAGGAAAGGAAAGGAAAGAAAGGAAAGGAAAGAAAAGAAACCATTAACCACAGTTTGGTATGGTCAGTGTTCCAAGGAGAAGCACAGTGGAGCTCAGAGAAAATACAAAGCTAGGAGTTTGCAGGGGAGGGGGGTCTCTAACCTACTCTTGGGGAGGGTCAGTTAAGGCTTCTTGGACAAAATGATATTTACACTGAGCTGTGGGAGTGAAGTAGGACTCAGTTGGGCAAAGGTGGAGTCTGTGGAGAATGTTCCAGATCCTTGCTATTCAAAGTGAAGCCAAGGTACCAGCAGCACCTGCGTGGTTGGGGGAGCGCCTTCAGAAGGCATATTCTCAGGCCCCGCCCACCCCACTGAATCAGAGCCTGCACATGGCAGTTGGGAAAGCACTGCTGTGGCCGTGTGTGGACAGCCTGGGGCAGGGTGAGAGCTTTTGGCTGGCGAGTGGGGAGGGGAGGGCACAGGAAGCAGACCAGACCGGCTGTGTTAGGGGGGAAGAGACTGGGCATGTGGGCGGGGACCAGCTGCAGCAGACAGCTGGGAGTGTCCCTGAGGATTTTGGAGTTTTTCCTAAGTAAGGACACTGTAGTCATTGGAGATTTGATTTCTAACTTTTTATTTGAGAGGGAGAGAGAGGGAGAGGGAGGGGAAGGGGGAGAGAGAGAGAACTCATCTGCTGGTTCACTCCCCAAATGTGTGCAATGGCCAGAGGCTGAAGCTGGGAGCCAGGAACTCAACCGATGCTCCTGTGTGGGTGTCAGGAACCCAATCACTTGAGCCGTCGCCGGTACCCTCCCAGAGTCTGCCTTAGCAGGAAGCTGGAGTCGAGAGCTTGAGGCAGGAGGTGGGCACTGTGATATATACAGGACGTGGACATCTTTACTGCTAGGCCAATTGCTTGCCCCTCATTGAAGACTTTAGCCAAGGATTAAGGTGATGGGACTTTTGAAAAACTGCCTTGGCTGCTGTGTGGTGAGAGTGCGTGGGAGAAGCAGCGTGGAGAGTAGGAGATGATGTGGAGGCTGTGTGGGTGTCCAGGTGGGGAGAGTGGGCCCAGTGGGGTTGTCTGGAAGCGGGTGGATCTCCAGTTTCTCAGGCAGTAGATTGATGAGATTTGAGGACTTGGTGAGAGGGAGGAGGCAAGAATGGCTCCCAGGTTTGGAACAACTGACCACTTGAGGTGGCTAAGATGGGGGAGGCCCTGGAGGGAGGGTGATGGCCAGGGTCCAAGTGCTGAGTTGGACAAGCCTGAGACTGGAAGGAGCGTGTCAGTGGGCAGCTGGGCTGGAGGTAAGGATCTGGGCGTCATTCTCACAGAGAGGGGAATTGAAGCTCTGGGTTGGGTGAGCTCTCCAGGGAGGTGGTGCAGTGAGAAGAAGAGAGGTTCCTGGGTGGTTCCTCGGGGTCCCCCAGGTACCAGCTGTGTCTAGACGTGGAGGGAGGAGTGTTTCATGGTGCAGGGGTGCACAGCTGCACCAGCTGCCGCAGGGAGGCCAAGGACACCATGGGGTCACAGTGACTTCTGGGCAGAGTGGCCTGGCCGTTGCTGACTGTAATTGAGACCATGGGAGGGATGGCAGTGGACAGCAGACAGCAGACAGCAGTGAGTTGAGGAGCGAGTGGAGAGGGCAGAAGAGCCAGAGGGTAGGGATGGTGCCTGTGAGGTGCAGAGCCCTGTGTGATATGATGAAAGCACAGTCATGGGGTGCACACAGGTGAATGTGTGGCTTGCAACACCAGTGTCCTGCGTTCAAATCCCAGCTGCTCTGCTTTTTATCCAGTTCTCTGCTGATGCACCTGGGAAGGCAGCAGCTGATGGCCCAAGTTCAAGGGGCCCTGACACTCACGTGGGAAACCTTATGGAGATCCAGGCTCCTGGCTTCAACCAGGCCCAGCCCTGGATGTGTGTACATTTGGGGTGTGAACCAACAAATGGACGATCTCTCTCTCTCTCTCTCTGCCTTTCAAATAAATAAACAGATAAAAATTCTTTAAAGAAAGGAGAGAGACCCAAGGGTACCAGAGACACAGGAGAGGGGAGTCAGGATGTGGACCACAGCAGGGGGCTGCCAGCTAACATATTCATTCAACAAATGATTTGTGAGCATCCACAGGTGCCAGGGGTGGCCAGGCAGGCCCAGAGCGCA